AGATTTGAAATATCACAGGTTGTTCCCCCTATATATAATATATATAAAGCTATATCATTTTAATATAGCTTTTTTTTAATCTCTCAAAAGTGGGGATTGTTTTTTTTTATAGTTATATCATTAATATAGTTAAATATATCTTTTTTTTTACTATTATATAATATATATATGTAGTAATTATAATTGGGGTGAGAGAGGGTTTAGGTGGAAGTCAGGGAGGGTAAAAGTAGGGCGAGCAAAAGTTAAGTTTTTCTTTACAAAAAAAAAAAAAAAAATTGAAACAAAAAAAAAATTCTATTAGCTCCATACAATTTACCATAATAGCAATTTTTTTTTTTTACTCTTCTCACTTTTTTTTTTAAATTTATATCTTTATATTACAAAATGTACAAAAAAAAATAAAAGGAAAAAAAATTTTTTTTTTTAATTTTCACTATTTACAATACATAAGAGTTATATATATATATATATTTTTTTTTTTTTTTTAAACTCATTTTTTTTTCTTGCCATCTAAAAAAATAAAATAGAATCTTTTATATATATTTATATATGCTATTTATCATTATTATTTCAGTTATAGTGTTAGAGAGAGAGATAGAGTTTTTTAAAGAGGCTTCTATTTTCCATTTAGCAAAAAAAAAAAAAAAAAAATCGCAAAAATAATTTTTATTTTTTAAAACTTGATTAAGGGTAGGAGGGGAAGAAAAAAAATCATATATATATATAGTATTTAGAGACAACAAAAAAAAAAAAGGGTAGGGATTTTTTAAAGAGAAAGATATAGATTTAAATAGGGGGAGATAAAAAAAAGTGTTGGAAAACTTATTTGCATATATGCTTGTTGAATGTAAAAAAAAAAAGTGGGGCAAAAAAAAAAAACGCAATAGAAGAGAGGTGTATTAGGGTAATTATCAATAAAGAAGATAGAATTGAGGCAAAAAAAAAAGTTGGAAAAAAAAAAGGGCTGGTGGTGTAATTAGATATAGAAAAAGGGAGAAGAGAAAGGGATGTAAAGGAAAAAGAAGAGGTGCGGAGATGGAAAAACAAAAAAAAAAAAAAAACAATACCTTTGGTGTACACACACATAAAAAAAAAAATAATACATTTAACAAGCACGCAAGTGACTAGCATTCATTTCTATGTGAGAAAAAAAAAAAAAAAAAGAGGCAGGTTGGGCAGGCAAGGCGATCTACATCCCGAGATCTTTGCCGGTCAAACTAGATAAAAATATATATATAAAGAGATGAAAAAAAAACTAAATAATTATATAATAATTACAAAAAAAAAAAAAAGAATGACCAAAATTAAAACTATAATTCCTAAAAAAAAATCACTCAAAAAAAAAAAAAAAAGAGTATAATATATTATATATCTGCAGAGATACCCTAGTAGAAACTTTACAAAAATAAATACGGAGGAGGAGGAGTGGCGACATCGGCTATTTCCTTCCCACCATTATTTCAGTCACTAGTTGCATCCTCTGTGTTGGGGGGGCGGGGTTACTGGTACTTGAGGGGTGTGGTGGGGGGTGTGTCGGGGGGCGGGGCCTGGGATGCCAGGTGATTGGAGGGTTCCTCCGGGGGCGGGGCGATGCCGAGAGCCTGGGCGAGGTCCACTAGGACCTCCGTCTCCCGAGGTTCCACCAGGTCGAAGCACGTGGCAAAGAGCACAAAGTGGCAGAAGAGAGAGTTGAGGTGCTTGTGAAGCCCTAGGAGCAACAACTCGCGGAAGTGCGCGTGGTACATGTGGGCTATCACATGGAACAGCAGCCTGTGGATTTTCTTCACTATGGATTCAAAGGAACTAGGGAAGTCCTTGTCTGCGAACACACAACACTTTGTTAGGACCAGAGTGACAGCAGTCCTTCATTTCTAGACTGGTCATCTACGGACAATGACTTTCCAGAATGGTTGCAAGGTTTTTCCACTCATGTTCTAAGTACAATTCTCAACCTGCAACCCTAAACCACATCATTGACTGTATTGACTCATCCATTGATGAGCTCTATTTATCCACAGCAGACACCATCTCAAGCTCTCCAGGCTTGATAGCCCAATATGGTCGAGTGAAGATAAGAAAAAAGAAAAGGACACACATATCAGTTCCAACTATATAACATCTCTGTATTCCTCTGAAGTCAGAACCTCCACCACAGTCCTCTGAATGAGACCCACAAGGAATTCACAAAATTTTCTAAACTGGCCAAAGAAGTGTAGCTGATCATATAACTGAAATATAAGACATTATCAACAAGCTCTACAAGCTTGATACCCTAATGTGATTGAGTGGAGATAGGAAAGAAGAAGAGACCAGCAACACATTCTATGTGAGGATTCTGATCTTTAAAAAAAAAATGTTATGGAGACTAACCAGTGAGCCTCAGCCACCAAGAACAAGGAGGTCGAAACTTCCTTCATCCTCCTTATTCTCCAGATGCCATGTTTCTAAACAACTCTATAAGAAAGAAGATTTAGTTGTTGTTGCCGTGTCCAATGAAGAGCCTCAGATGTCACCATGCATCTCCATCACAGCAGCAGCAATGTACACTATCTTGGGTGTGTAAAGCTGCTGCTCTGGGTCCATGTCAATTTTCTGCAAGGCTGCGGTCATTGCTGGACATGAGAATATGTGAGTAGGTGTTTACTGCTACTCTTTTTGTGTTGATTTTTTGCTTCCCTCTTTCTTTTTTTTTTCTTTTCTTGTTTTTTTTTTTTCATTTTCTTCTTACTCTGTATATATCGTTATTTCCTTTGTCTCACTGCTTTGTTCTTATGCATACCTCTGGTGAATCCTGTATAGGGTCAGTGACCCTAAATAAAGGCTTTTTTGTTGTTGTTGTTGAGTAGGTGTTAGTTCCACACCAGGACAGATGTTGCATGTCCTATAGGTTCTTGTGTCATCTGGATGTATTGTCATTATGTGTAAGATAGTGTATAAGATTTAGTGATGATTATTAATGTACTATGACAATGCTATGACCCCTCCAAGAGTACTGGAGGAAACCTTACTATAAGGTTCTATCTACTAGGAAAGGAAAACTCCAACCTGCCACCTCCATGTGAGGGTGGACAGACAACACCCTGGTCAGCAAACTTTTGAAGTTGAAAGAGTCAAAAACTACAACTTACAAAATTTCAAAGTTCTTAAAGAAGTCACAACATTTTTTTTTTCTTGTCAACAATAAATAGTACTCACATAAATAAAAACTTCATGTGAGTATAACACGCAGTTTCACATCTAAAGAGCAGCAGGCTGCAGACCCTTGTTTTAGAGCAGGTAAGCCAGGAAGGAACCAAGGTATACAGTGTACTCCGCTTATAACAAAGTCGGTTATAGCGAAATTCCGCATATAGCGAATGAAATTGTCTGCACGAAAGAAAAGAAGGGCTTAAACCATTAAAAGAACTCTGGATATTGCGAAGTCGGATATAAAGAATTTTCGCTTATAACGAAGTGATTTGCATGTATAAATTTTTATTTTATCCGTTTATAACGAAGTTTTCTCATTTACCATTATAATTGACTAATATATTATGCATAATATATATCAAATTACGTGTGAATGACACAAATTTAATGATACACAACAAATAAGTTAATAATATACAATTTTAAAATATGCAAACATATTATAAGTATTTTTTTTACATTATTTAAACAAAATTAAATTGTTTAATAAACGCTTATATTTTATTAACGTTTACCATGGCAGGAGAACGAAAACAAACAAGAAACTCACTATCTCTGTCAGTCAAGCTGCAAATCCTAAGAGAGATTGAAGTGGAGAAGAAGAAAAAGACAGATGTTGCCCAGAAACATAATATCCCACAGTCGTCGCTCAGCACCATAATAAAGAACTCTGAGAAGATCCACCAACAAGCTCTGCATGCGGGAGAAAGCAGTCGGAAACGAGCACGTGGATCTACATATGCTGATGTTGATGAGGCTCTGCTGCAGTGGTTCAAGCAGGCAAGAAGTGCAGCGCTTCCAGTTAATGGTCCATTGCTTTCCGAAAAGGCGAAGACCCTGGCTCTTGAATTTGGATTAAAGGATTTTACTGGGAGTGGTGGATGGATCGAGCGTTGGAAGGCAAGGCATGGCATCAAGCTGCTCAACATTTGTGGAGAATCAGCTGATGTCAATCGTGAGACAATGACGAACTGGTTGACCGATGTAATGCCTAATATAATTAGTAACTATGCTTGCAAAGACATCTTCAACGCCGATGAAACCGGTCTCTTCTGGCGTCTTCTTCCTGACAAGACACTTCACTTTAAGGGAGAAACTTGCACCGGCGGAAAGGCTAGTAAGGAACGGATCACAATCCTTCTATGCTGCAATATGGATGGTTCTGAAAAGATGCAACCTTTGGTCATTGGAAAGGCGAAATAAAATTATTGGTACAAAACATTTTTTTTTTCCAACTGCGGATATAACAAACTTCGGATATAACAAAGTGATTGTCATGGATAATGCGACTTCGTTATAAGCGGAGTACACTGTACTCCATCCTAATATGAAATAAGACACTCACTTGTTTCTTGACATTTGGAAATGGGTTCTCAGAGTAGAGGAACATGCGATCAGAGAGAGGTATATATTTGACAATATTAATTACAATACAATATGTAATGTAAAACGTTTATGGAGATGAGTATCTTTTATTCCGGTCTTCTCAAGCTTTCGGGCTTGTCCGCCCTTCTAAAACTAAATTTAAAGGAGATTTAAATTTATTCACAAATATGTAATGGTTTGATAAAGATTGGCGTTTAGCCAACCGAAATATTGACAAATAAATCTTTTATTTAATCCAATATATGCATTTTTTATTATATATATATATACATATATATAAAATGACACTTGAAGTTACACCGCATGAGTTTCTTTTCAATGAAAAATCAAAATTTATTTCAAGGTGAAATATTGACTATTTCTAACTGGATGAGGTATGAAAGGGTGAATTATGAAGAGTAATGATGAACGGGAAAAATAAAAGTGTCCAGGGATGGGAATCGAGCCCACAATGTTCCGCTTACCGGGCAGATACTATGTCCACTAAGCTACCCTGGACGAGAGAGGTATATAGACTGAAGACAAACCACTTCCTACCAAACATCTTCAATGATGAACTATGTGACCACCAGACTATGGACCAATCAGGAGGAACCTTATTGTGGAGATACATGGTCAGGATTGATTCAATTGAATCAAATACAGACATTTTGCAGTGGTTACGAAAACCTAATCAGACTTTTGTGAAGCTTAAACAAAATTAAACACAAGGTAATAAGACCAAATCCAAATAAATAAATAGTGTGTGATGTTTTGGTAACAGCGTTGTTACCAAAACATCACAAACTATTTATATATTTAGATTTGGTCTTATTACCTTGTGTTTATCTATATATATATATAAATGAATGTTTGTATGTTTGTCTGTTTGTTGGTTTGTATGACCTGTATACAAATTCGCAGTAGTTCACTAATTCAAATCAAAATTTCCATACATAGGTAAAAAATAACGGGGATGACGATAGGCTATTTTAAAAAATATATAAATCAATTATTAAAACTATATATTCAAATTATTCTACTTAGCTCACGAGCAGCGCCCTCTAGAACGCCGGCAGGTCACTTTAGCGTTCTAGACGAGAAGCTTTTTCTTAATTACAATGCAAGTCCTTAACTATATTTACAGGTTTTCTAATTTATAACTATTTCACATATTTACATAATTCGCCGTTTAAAATAACCGCTCTTGCTATATTTGCTATGTTTTATTTTGCTATGTTTAATGTGTTTGAATAATACATTTAATCGTGTAAACCCGGGCGTTGCCCGGGTCATTCGTCTAGTACTCTATAAACCAAATTGTGCCTTATCACTTAAACAACATTGTTATGGTTGTAAGTGTCTACCAACTCTATTTTGACTTTTGGTGACACTATGGTGACAAATATTCTCCAATTCAATCTGTTATTGACCACCATTCACAGCTCATCTAGTGACCTTCCATAGCTTCCTGGACACCTTCTAACCAGCTCATTACAGGCTTTCCTATCTTTTCTCTTCCAATTTTTCCCAACACATCAATATCTTTTTGATATAAACATTATGCATGGTCAAGAGAGTTGATCTTCAGTATCAGTATAAAACAGCAAAATACAGTCGAACTTGGATAATTCGAACCCCAAGGGACCATAAAAAAATTCGAATTATCCAAAAATTCGAATTAAAAACGTAAATTCTATTTATAGGAAATTCTAGGGACCAAGATAAATATTCGAATTAAAGAGGTTTTCGAATTAAAGAAGTTCGAATTATCCAAGTTCTACTGTACAATAATAAGAGCAGTATGGTAGATTAAACTGGCAAAGCTGCTTGAAGGGTTCCTCACTGATGAAGCAGGCCTTCCCAAAGTGTCAAGTGTGTAGTCAAAACATGTCTAGAGCATAAACACAAGGTAATAAGACCAAATCCAAATAAATAAATAGTGTGTTTGTTGTTAACATGTCTTATTACCTTGTGTTTATAATCTAGAATCCAAATTGTGCCTTATCATGTCTAGAGCTGTTAATTTTATCACATGAGCCAAAGTAGTCTAAAAGTTTGTAGGTTATGATAGACACGCAGCAATATTTGTGGCTGCATAATGAAGACACGCTGAGAAACCAGGGCCTTCTAAAGTCAAGGGTGTATAGCCAAACATTTCTAGAGCCATTTAACGTTATCAAAACGAGCCAGTATAAGTACGTAGCTAGTAACAGTCCTCAGTAATTTTTGAGGCTGTACAATGAAGACATACCAAATAGAAAGTCAGGTCAACAAGTGAGAGGAGCAAAGTTTCTTACCAAATTTCGTAGGAAATATCGACTCGTCGTTCACAGTTTTCTGGGTGAAGGTCATCACATAATCTATGTATTGGGGGGCGGCCACCTTGCACTTCTTCCCTTTCTCATCAAACCACAGGTACTGTCTGCACAGCCAGGCTTCTTGTAATCTCTCGTGTGGGACCTCGCTACAACATTTCCTTCTATAACAAGGTAATAACACCAAATACACTCATGGAATAAACTTTTTATTATTATTATCCCTAGTACACATGGTACAGGCCATGATAATCATGGTTGGTTGATAGCGACTGCTTTTACTCTAAGTGCACCACTTATCTACACATGTGAAAAGCAGTTAGACTTTTGCCCTTACAAATGTGCCAGAGTTCTGTTTGGTTACTTGCACTTGCTGGTGGGGTTGAACTTTTGCATGATTCAGGGAACATTGGAGCATTTTTTTAATTAGAAAAAAAGTGCCCAATGCGGGATTCTTGGACAAAACTTGAGGAAGTGGAATGTCTTTGATGTCGCCAGTTGTCTATTTATTTTTTCAAAGATACAGAAGCGATTTTTGTTCACACTTGGTTATCTTGAGTGTCTTCAATAAAGGTCACTGTAATATCTTTCAGAGTTATTGTCTGAATCCCGATATACATGCTAAAAGGTACAACTTCCTTAAGTTTTTTCCATGAGTGTATACACACTTGGTTATCTCGTGTGTCTTCAATAAAGGTCACTGTAATATCTTTCAGAGGTATTGTCTGAATCCCGATATACATGCTAAAAGGTACAACTTCCTTAAGTTTTGTCCATGAGTGTATACACACTTGGTTATCTCGTATGTCTTCAATAAAGGTCACTGTAATATCTTTCAGAGTTATTGTCTGAATCCCGATATACATGCTAAAAGGTACAACTTCCTTAAGTTTTTTCCATGAGTGTATACACACTTGGTTATCTCGTGTGTCTTCAATAAAGGTCACTGTAATATCTTTCAGAGTTATTGTCTGAATACCGATATACATGGTAAAAGGTACAACTTGTCCATGAGTGTAAAATAAATAACGTGTGACATTTCCATAAAAAAACTTATTATTTATTTAGATTTAGTGTCCTTTTATACTTCTAATCTATAATCAGCACAACTGGGGTTATAACATCATATTTCTAAAAGCCAAAGTTTTAAGTGCTGATCATTTCAACTGTAGTTATGAGAGCATAAAATTTATCTAGAAAACTCCATTTGGCTTTATCATTAAGAGATTTCAAGAAAATAAGACCCAAATAATTTAATAGTTTGTGACGTTTCGGCAACAGCATTGTCAGAATAGATTAGATAGAATAGATTTATTCTTTTGTCTGATGATGGTGACAATGCTATTGCCGAAACGTCACACACTATTAAATTATTTCGATTAGGTGTCTTATTTTCTTGTATTATAATCTATAATCCAAATTGTGTTTTATCATTAAGAGAGTTAAAAATGATTTACCTCAACCAAACAAAACAAAAAATATATATATATATTAAACTTTATTCTAACATTTTGACAGGATCTGCTGTTTCCCCTTTTTTTTAAGGCTAGTGTTTTTAAGATTAAGGGGAATACAGTTAATATAAATTGATACAGGGAATGCAAAGCTTTCGGGCATATTTGCATATTGGTATTACCTTGGAGACTTTCTTAACCTGCTGGATATCCCAACTTTATTGTCGCGTAATCTTTCCTCAAGAGATATAATAACATTTACCCATGTTAATACTCTAGTTCCCCAGCGGCCCCTTTCCTGCTACTATCTCCCTTGACACATTGTAAATAGCATTGCTAATTATTGTAACTATTGTTCCTGTATATACCCTCTTCTACGTGGAGAAGTTGTATAAGACCAAAAGGTCATAACAGGGACTTTTGTTGTTGTTACTACTGTTATTCTTGTATGTACCCTACATTTCTGTGCTTGGAGAATCCGTATAAGACTAAATTGTCTTAATAAAGCTTTTTGTTGTTGTTGCATATTGGTATTCAGCTGAAGAAAGGCATGCCCGAAAGCTCCAAAAAAGAAGTGTGACGAATCTAACGTACAAAAAGTGTGATAGAGAGGTAGGCAAGATGTTTTACTCACCTATTGGAAGGACCAGTCATATCAGGACAGCCTGACATGGTGCAAAATTCTGATATGGTGCCATATATCAAGTTTATATGGTCAAAGAAGGCTATAGCTGAACACACACACCGCCAGTTAGATTACAAGTACATATAACATTTAATGTACACAACACAAATTCTATGTTTGAACTTGAAAAATCATTGTTTTTTTTTTTTTTACTTATCCTTTTAGTCTAAATTAGACAAGATCTTGAAGGTCGTGCTCGTAAAGAAGCTCAAGAACTCTTCTTGGTTCTCTGTACCGGGATCTTTTGTCCTTTCCAATGCAATTAAAAATCATTGTAAAATAATATAGCGGTTAGAAGCCATGTCTTTCGTATAATACCCATCAAAACAATGTCTTGACAATTTAAACAGTTTTATTGATTCTTTTAATGAAATTTTACAAAGGTGGAAACATTTAATGTATGGGGGAGGTACATAGATTATATTCTCAAGCTTTACAAAATTGATACCCTAATATGATTGAGTGAAAATGACTTTCCAGAATGGTTGCAAGGTTTTCCCACTCTATGTACTAAGTGTCAACCTGCAACCCCAAAACACATTATTGACTGTATTGACTCGTACATTGATGAGCTCTACTCTTCCCCGGCAGACACCATCAAAAGTCTCAAGCTTTACAAGCTTGATACCTTAGTCTGATTGAGTGGAGATAAAAGAGAAGAAGTAAATTATATTTATAAATTCAATTGCCACTTATCAATAAAATTTGTACCAAATAAATTTACTGGCAATGTGTTTTATTTTAAAATAAGAGGTTTCCTAAATACAGCTAAGCTGCCTTCCATAGAAAATTTGGTGTTTTTATCCTATGATTTTTATCTCTAGTCCAAATTGTACTTCATTCTAGAAAAAAAAAAGAAGTATTGTGGCAGGAATCTACTAACATTGAAGTGATGAGAGGCAAAGAGAGATCAGGAACTTCTGCCAAAGACAAATTCCTACCTATATACATACAGTGGGCTATGTAACAAGGGGAGAAAGAGAGTATAATGGTCCGTACATCGCCTACGGAGCCTCCATAAATCATGTGAAGAGGTTACCAAACTCCAAGTGGTATTTCAAC